TGCTGGTCTTCCCTGAAGAATGCCATATGTGGATGGCTCAGCCTGGGGCGGCAGCAGCTGCTGAGGCTGCACATGGCAAGGAGCCCAGGAGGATGGAGCCAGGAGAGGGACAAGGACAATAGGAATGCACTGCCAGGGGTGGGCTTGTATCTGGAACTCTATAACCAAGACCCTGGGGTGATTTGAAAAAGAAAAAAAGTAGGAAGAACATAGAAAGAAACATGGCAAAAAGAAGGAACAGAGAGTGATGGGGTAAAGAGACAGAGATGGGGGAGAGAGGTAGAGAAATGGGGGAATAGAGACAGAGAGATGGGGACAGAGACAGAGAGATGGGGACAGAGACAGAGAGATGGGAAAAGAGAGAGAGATAAGGGAACAGAGAGAGACAAAGAGGTGGGGAACAGAGAGACAGAGAGATGGGGAACAGAGAGAGATTGGGGTAGCATTCTCAGGGGGAAAGAGGGCAGAATGTTTGCTTGATGACCAAACAATGATGACTGTCACCTACATAGAGACACTTAGGTGACAGAAGGGGAGGGACAACTGATGACAGGGAACTTCTCTAAGCAAGAAGTTAATAAGGGTGTGTGTGTAGGAGGAGGAGCCTGGAGGTCAGCAAAAATGAGGCCGACACCTCAGCATAGTGGAGGGAGAGAACCCACTCCTGAAGGTTGTCCCTGACCAGCATATGTGCATCAACAGATGAAACAAATAAACAAATAAATAAATAAATAACATCAACCCAAAGAAGTTAACAGGCTATCAAGATGGCTCTGTGGGTAAAGGTGATTGCCTCCAGTCATGACTGCCTGAGTTCAAGCCCCAGGACCCACATAGTGGGAAGAGAACCAACTACTATAGTTACTCTCTGATCTCCACAAGCACACTGTGGCACAAACACACCCACAGTCACACATAAAAGAAAGAAATAAATGTAACAAGCATTTTTAAAAGGAAGCTAATAAGGGTGCTTGCCTTGCAAGCATGAGGACCTGAGTTCAGAGCCCCAGAATCCACGTGAAAACCAGTCAGGAGCTGTAATCCCAATGTTCAGCAGCTTTCCTTCCCCTCCCCTCCCGTCCCCTCCCCTCCCTTTTATTTTCCCTCCCCTCCTCTCCCCTCTACTCCACTCCCTTCCCCCAGCCCTGCCTTTCCCTCGCTTCCCCCTTCCCTCCCTTCTTCTCTCTCTTTTCTCTCCACTACCCCTCCTCTTTTTCTGTTTTAGAGACAGGCTTTCCATGCTGACCTCCAACTCACTATCTATGCAGCCAAAGCTGCTTTTGAACTCCTGATGTACCTCCATCCAAACGAAAAGCTTAAATTAATTAATTAAGCTTAAATTAATTTCTTCAATTAATTGTTTTAAAACCTGACAAGGTTTGTTTGAATGGATGCAGGTCAAAGTGTCCATTCTTTTTTTAGGAGGTTTCACCTGTGTGTGTGTGTGTGTGTGTGTGTGTGTGTGTGTGTGTGTGTGTGTGATGTAAGCAGAGTGTTGAAGAACACCATTACAGTCCTGAGATTTTAGCCTGGTGAACGGGCCTTTGGGCATATGACAGTGCTGTGGCATTCATCCTGGCTAGTGAGCTTTGACTGGAAGGTCAGAAGTGCAGTCATTTGGAGGCAGTGTGTGGTGGCCCTGGGCATAATGCAGGCCTCAACAAAGGGGAATTTGTCCCTTAGCAAAGAATTGGAGGAATCCCTGAGTTGGTGAGGCGATGGCTTGAAGAATGACTGCCTGGACCTCCCTGAATGTGTTCTATGGCTACACAACGCCTGACTCACGAGAATTCTGGTGTCAGAGACAAGCCCCTGTGTGAGCCTTGGCCAGTCCCCCCCACCCCGGAGGGACTAATGGAGGAGCAGTGAGCAAGTCAGGGAGGAGAGCTGGCAGAGACGGGTGGAGGGTTTGTCTATGGCGTGTCCACCAGAGAAGGCAGCAGGACGGTTGGTGCCAGAAAAGTGCCATCTTGAGCAATTACATTTCATAAACACCTGTGGCACTCAAACTATTGAGGAGAAAGCTTCGTGAAAGCTGGGTCCTTGCTTTCTCAGAATCCCCTGCGCCCAAGCTATAATGTGGAAAATACAAAGCTGCGTGGAGAAGCCAAGCACAGAAGCTCACAAACGTCCCATTCCATTATCCAGTGTGCACAGAAGACTTAGGGTTGAGTTGGGTGGGGAGATTGTATAATGGGCAACAGTTTCACGTTAGAGAGATGGGTGTGCTAGAACTGGGTAGTGGTAATAGAGACATGGTGTTTGGACATAATGCTGCCAGGGCAAATCATATTTTATTCATATTTACCACAATAGAGCATCTTTCCCTGAAAATAATTGTATGTGTTATGCATGTGTATGTGTATGAACCCACTCACCTGTGTATGTACACACATGTATTGACCAGAGGCCAATCTCAGCTGTCTTCCTCCACCTCATTTTCTAAGACGGGATTTCTCACAAACTTGGAGTTCACCATTTTGGCTAATCTGGCTGGCCAGGAAGCCCTCAGGGTCTGGCCAATTCCTCCAAATTGCATGGTATGGGGGTAGGGAGTTAGCAGGTACACTTCACCACACCCAGCTTTTTGTGTGGATCTTTTTATGTCCTCATGTTGGTGCGGCTCCCTGGCCTACAGATGACTCTTGGAGTGTTGCATTTTTCTTCTCTCCCTTTCCTCTCTTGGTCTTGTTTTCTGTATGTCTTTCTATACCTGTCATTTTCTCTCTGTGTCTCTGTTTCTGTCAGTCTCTGTCTCTGTCTCTTTCCTCTCTCCCCCTCTCTCTCTTCTCTTCCCTCTCCTTTGGCCAGAGCCCCTAAAACCCAGTCACTTCCCAAGTGCCTACCAGCTGGTAGCCAAGCACTTCATATTCAAACCATAGCAACCAGACATCCCACAAAGATGGCCAATTCTCTTAAACCCTGTCACCGTCATGAAAAAGAGTGAGGGGCAATTCTAGATTGAAGAGATTTAGGGCCAAAATAGAGACTGTCATCTTGAAGTAGAAAAAAATTACAGAGATATGACTGGGCTGTCCGGAGATGAGTAATATGGATGACATTGTGTCATGGTAGATCTGGTGGTGAGTACATGCATGTACATACATTTGTGTATGTGAAAGTGAGTTCATGCGTGTCACAGTATGCATGTAGAGGCCAGAGGACAGCCTCAGCTGTCAGTTCTTGATTTCCTCCTTGTTTGAGACTGGGGTCTCTGTTGTTTTTCTGCTGTGTAATCCAGGTTAGCTGGCCCCTGAGCTTCCAGGAATTCCCTTGTCTCTGCTTCATATCTCGATGGAAGAGCACGGATGCTTGCATTACTTCATCCAGCTTCTAACTAGGATCTGGAGATTTGAACTCAGGTCCTTACACTTGACTGGCAAGCACATTTCCACTGAACTAACTCTTCAGTCCTTAATTAAATTCTTAATTATGATTATCACACTGGTTGTGTAAGGAAACATCTTCATTTTCCAGAGACACACGGTAAAGTAATTAGATAAAAAGAAGGTAGGGTTTAAGCAACTCACTCTCAAGTATTTCAGTATACATACACACACTTACGTGTATATACACTTGTGTGTGTGTTAGTCCACTAAAAACTAAGATTTCATCACAGCATAAACAAGGCCTAGTCTGAAGCATTGTGTTTAGACAGTGAGAGTAAAAGTTAATTTTATTTCCTACAGATTTAAGTCATAGAATCAGGTTGCAAATTATTGACATGAAAGAAGGAGCCATGTATGATTTGGGGGGTGAACTTTTCCAACCCCATTAAAGTGACATGGTCAAGTGACACAAGTTTTGTTGACCAACACAATGGCCATGTTTGTAAAACTCTCAAAGGTTTCAACAGTTTTCCCACATGTGACCTTTAACTCTGAAGTATTCAAAGCATCCCTTTGAATGCTTTTTTCCTGTCCACATCACACATCACCTGTGTTTGCTCTCTCCCTCTTTTGCTATGAAGCAGCCTGGCTTGGACAGGTTCTCACACCCTGCGTGTCTCCCTTCCCCAAGAGCAGGCCTGTCTTTCCTGAGTGTGGCACAGCGCTTTGATTTCACTTTGCAGTTGAGTCCTGTCCTATATTATTCAGATTGTCCACTAGAGTTTTTAAAAATTACCCAGAAGTCTCAGGAGCTGAACATCCAGAGTCTTGTCAGTCATAATCCCAGTCCAACGTATGAGGCTTCCACGTTACCTAGCTGTACTGGCCCACCCTAAGTACAAGGGATTCTGAGAAATGCAGTCTTCATGTGAGATCAGAGAGGAAAATGAAATCACTGCCATACATTGTATGTGTATTTCAGGAGTCAACATTGTTTAAATATATATGTAAGTTGAACTCAGTGGCACATAACTTTAATCTCAGCACTTGGGATGCAGAGGCAGGTGGATCTTTGTGAGTTCCAGGCTAGCCTGGTCTGCATAGTGAGACCCTGTCTCAAAAAACCAAAACCCCCAAATCTAAAACAAAATGTCCAGTGTACATGTATGTTGTGTGATATGTGTGGTCATGGAACAACTTTGTGGAGTTGTTCTCTCCTTCCACCTGTAAGTGGGTTCCAGGGATTGAACTCAGGTTATCAGGCTTACATTGTTGATGTGACAATAGGGGCCATGTGTCTGGCCCCCGTTGCTTTTGAAACGGGTTCTTGCATAACTCAGGCTGGCCTGTGGGCCTCTAACTCACTGTGTTGCTAATTACATGGAATTGTCCTCCTTCCTTCACTTGCCAAGTGTAGGGATTGCAGGATGTGCCCCACGTTTATGCAGTGGTGGAGAATACAACCCAGGGCCTCATCCATGCTAAGCAAGCACTCCACAAGTGTCCCAGCTCTGAATTCGAGATTTTAATTGTCTTCACCCTCCTGCCCCACCTAGATCCAGCAGCTCAGAGCCTCTGGACTTCGAAGCAGGAAAAATAAGAAGAACTGTCCTAAATTTTCTGAGATTCTGTTAAAAGCTGCTGATTTGAATTTTGCCTTGTCGTTGGCAGGTTTGGATTTGTCTCTCCCATCCTCTTTGGGTCCTCATCCCTCCCTGGACTTTCCAGCTGCCCCCTCAGCCTTCACTGCCCTGTGAACATGTTGGTGATTCTTGCCTTCATCATCATCTTCCACATCGTAATTTTGTCGCTGTTGTTCATTTCCACCATTAACAATGTAAGTTTCTGTTCTCATCAACCACCTCGGAGTCATGGGCAGTAGAGACCATAGAGCAGGGTGGAGAACAGGAAGGATGTGATTGAGATCTGGGGTGTCCTCTTTGCTAAGGCATCTCCCCAGCCCAGGCCTGGGTGCTCTCATCCTGGGCATGGAACTTTGGGAGCATCCTGTGCTCAGGTTTGGATGAGGTAAGACAGGGCTAGTTGATATGATGCTTGCCTGCCAGAAGCCCCCGGGGAAGGTCCAGTTCTCTGCAGTTCTCAGCCTCAGAACCATTGGCATTAGGAGCTAGTAATTCTTTTTTTTTTTCTATTGAATGTTTCTATTTTATTCTTTAAATTTACTTATTTTGTTTTGTGTGTATGGGTGTCCTGCCTACATGCTTGTCTATGAACTACCTGTGAATGCCTGGTGCCCGAACAGGTCAGAAAAGGACCTTGGACCTCTGGGACTGGAGTTACATATGGCTATAAGTCACTGTGTGGGTGCTGGGAATCGAACCTGGGTCCTCTGCAAGAGCAGCAAATGCTCTTAACCACTGAACCATCTCTCTACCTCCTATTTTATTTTTAAAATTAGGAAACAAATCATGTTTTCTAAAGTTTTGCCTGTTATACTTTAGACAAGGAATTAATATCTTAAATACAGAAAGAACTGCAAAACCTGCTGGGCAGTGGTAGTGCGTGCCTTTGATCCCAGTACTTGGGAGGTAGAGGTAGGGGGATCTCTGTGAGTTCGAGGCCAGCCTGGTCTATAGATTGAGTTTCTGGACAGCCAGGGTGGCACAGAAAAACACTATCTCTGAAAACAAAAAGAAGCAAACAACAGAAGGACTGCAAAGCTTAAACACACACACACACACACACACACACACACACACACCCATGTATGTACGCACACGCATGTACACGTGCACACATACACACCCAGACAGTTAATAAATGGACCAACAAACTGAACAGAGAGTTCTAAAAATAAATAAATATATGTGTAGTGAGTCAGTAAATATTTTTTTAAAGTGTTCAACATCCTTAGCCATCAAGGTAATGCAAATTAAAACTGCTATGAAATTCCGCCTCAGCACTGTCAAAATGACTACCGTCAAGAAAACAAATGACAACATTCCCTTCAGTGGTGTAGCCGCTGGCAAGTCGCCTGTGTAAATAACCATGACCCATGCTCACACAGGCACCACCAATTAAACTCAGTGGGAAAGACATGAAAGTATGAAGGAACTTGTTGGCAAGAAGAGGGGTTCTATGAGAGTGGGGAGTAAGACAGTGGTGGGGGAGCAAAAGTAACCCAAATACATTGCATACAAGTATGAAACAGCCAAGGAATTTTTTAAAAACAACCCCCCACCAAGGTTCTGAGGCGGTAAGGAAGTAGCATGACGGTATTGTGAGGTGGAAGAGAAAGGAGCCAGGGGTGTGGGGATGCTAAAGGGTAGGTCAGGAGGATGGAGAAACACTGAGAACAGTTTCACTTTTGACAGTGGCATAGTGAAACCTAATACTGTGTCCTGATTAATTTTTTTAAAATAAGGTGGAAATTAACTAAAAACAGAACTGCTGCATGCCTAACTATATTATACACCTAGGAGGGTGTATTCTCAAAGGCCCTATACCCTACCACAGAGCTGCTTGCACACCCATGATTATTGCTGCTCTGTTCACGGTGGCTAATGATGTGATTAATTCATGTCAAAGGCCTCTGGTACCTTGCAATGGCCTAGCAACATCCCTGGCCTTTGTCATTAGGGTCAGTCTTGCACCTAGCTGAAGGAGTGTTTTCTCCAGATGTTGACAGCTATGTTGACAGGGAGCAAAATCAGCCTGGATAACCCATTCAGGCCATCTTCTCCCTGTCCCCTGCATCTTTTTACTAGTCAGGCACACGTGTTACTAGTCACTCACAGACGTTCTGGCAGATCTTATGATTGGAGCTTTCTAAATTCTCCACGGGTCCCTGACATATAACTTGTTCTTTCAGGGTCCAGCTAGCAGCTGTATTAGCAAGAGAGTATTTGATAACCCCTTGGCCCAGGCAGGAGGTGATGCTTCTAATAGAGACCTGGTCTTGTCCCCAGGGCCTGGCTTCATCTGGTCATTTCAAACTACAGAGACCTTTAAGGGGAAGAAAACTGCTCAGAAGGCCAAGTCAGTTGGGGATCTCTAGGTGTGTGTATGTGTGGTTTCCTGCATCTGGTCCTTTAGGATCCCAGACAAGTCTGAGGCTTAGAGAAAGGGTTGGATGGGCATGGGGGGGCGTGTGTAATGTGCTCCCACACCTGGTGTTTATATTAGCATGACACTAAGGGGGATGGACGGAGGTGTGCCAGCCAGTGAGTCAGCCTGTGTTTGCTATGCACTTGAAATCAGGCTTTCCTTTGAGGGTGGATGTGAAGTGGGGACAGTGGTGTCTGTGGGCCCAGTAAGTGGAAGGAAGCATCCAGCCTTTGAGGGATGGAGAGTGAAAGGCAGGACTCAAGGGAAGGGGCAGGGACAGAAGTGCAAGGGGAACATGAAGGCACTGGGCTAAAAGGCAGAGTGCTTCTCTCCTCTGTCATCACAGGGTGCCTCCTTTAATTTTAATTTTAATCTTTTTATTGTTTGAATACTTTTTTTTGATTTTTCAAGACATGGCTTCTCTGTGTAGCTTTGTAGACCAGGCTGGCCTCCCCAAATTTAAACATTTATGTTTTTCATTCCTTTTGAGGGGGAGTGGGGGCATGTGCTGTGGCACACGTGTGGAGGTCAGAGGACAACTTCCTGGAGTTGATTCCTTCCTTCTACCGTGTGGATCCTGGGACCTAATTCAGGTCCCAAGGCTTGGAAGGAAGAAAGTGCTATTCATTCTTGAGCTGTCTCACCAGCCCATGAAATTAATTGAAATTAATTTTTAGGTTAACAGACAGTGTAATGAGTTTCATGGTGGCATCTTCATACATGTGTGACGTTACACTTTGCCCTCATTGGCTCCCCTCTCTCACTACCCTTCCTTGCCCCCTCCAACTGGCTCCCTCTCCTTCCTACCCCAGTTAGCCCCCCTTCTGCTGTCTTATCATGTGAATTCCATTACCTTCTATTTCCCACCTCTCTTAAGTCCTCTTCTCGGCTCTGATCCTGGTCTTTGTCCCATGGCCTGTGAGTGCGCGCGCGCGCGCGCGCGCGCGCGCGCGCACGCACACACACACACACACACACACACACACACACACACACAATTGTGAATCTAGTTCTTCATATGGGCCTGGTGTGTTCCCCTGTCTCCCTGCAAATGTAATGATTTTATTTTAGTTCCATTGTGTATGCGTGTCACATTTTTAGTATCCAGACATCTAGGCAGGTTCCATTCCCCAGCTACTGTGGCAGGCTGTCCCCATGATGTCATCCTTTCTTCTATACCTTGTCCCTGCTGTTCTGATGGAACTGGCCTCTGTTTACTTTGATGGCTGCTACCTCAGTATGAGTCATGAGAGCATGGAACGCCTCAGATCCTTCCGCAGACTTGCCGCCCGGCATCCCATGGGGACTCAGTAAAGACCCAAAACTGAACTGAGGCCTTTGGACTCAGAGTGTGCATTTGAATGAAGTCCCCGGGAGACCTGCCTGTGGTCTGCCCTCTGAGAAGCTGTGAGTCCTGAGCGGGGGCCACATTTACTCCTTGACCCAGCAGGACTCAGGAACTGCGCCCTTCACCAGCAGCTTGCGTTCCCTTTGCAGGCCTGGTGGGTAGGAGAAACCTTCTCGGCAGACATCTGGAGACTGTGCTTCAACGGCACCAACTGCACAGAGATCACCGACCTGAGAGGCAATGATGATGGGTTTGCAGGTGAGTGCGTGTGAGCGGAGCTTTGGGGCCCCATCTCCCTGACAGCAGACCCAGGCAGGAAGGATCACCTCAGCATGCCTAGGTGGCTCCACTTGCTTTCTGTCCCTGTATGCCATGCCATTGTGAGCCCTGGGAACAGTCAGCTGTGGTGGGAAACAGGGCCAGCAAGGACAGCTCGCTGGGCCCAGAGGCAGAGGTTTGGGGCCTCTGCTATTTGTGCTCCATGCTCTCCATGTGGGATTATCTCCATGTTATTGCTCTAAAATCAGGGATCTGTGCCCTATCAGCTAAACTCAGCCCAAGGCCTGTTTGGTATGGCCCATGAGCTAAGAATGGTTTTGACATTTTAAAAGTTGTGAAAGAACAAAATCCCCAAAACAAAGAAAAAAATCAGAAGCCTGAATTATTTATTGCTTGACTTTTTCCTGAAAAAAGAAAATCCTGCCAGCTCAGACTTTTTCCACATGTAAATTTATTATGCTAATTTATTCCAGTCTTACCATCTATGGTAAACTGGTGTTATGTGCCGTGAAAACAGGAAAAAATGCTAGGCTAAAAGCTGGAGACCCTCAGTGAAGTCTGACCACACTGGCTCCCCCGTCCCTGTGTATCAAAGGATATGTGTGGACATCAAAGGACAACTCATGGGAATCAATTCTCTCTGTCTCCCCCTTGAGTCCTGGGCTCTAACTCAGGTTGTTCAGAATGGGGGCGGATGCTGAGCTCTCTCCCCAGCCCAGTGTTAAAACAGAAACATAAGCAACCCAAATGCTAGCTGTGACTCTGGATCTGCAGAAGACTGGCTCTGAGACCCTGTGAGGATCCCAAAGGATGTAAAATAGAAAAACTTTACATGGAACCTATACACACCCTCCTTCTAGATTATTTATGACATCGAATACAATCTTTCTATGTCATTTCATCTGTGTGGATCTGGCCTGGTACATGGAAAATTCAAATTTTGCTTTCTGGAACTTTCTGGGTTCTCCCCCAACCCACACAGCTCAAAAATGTTTGTTGAGTCCAAGAATGCAGAAGCCCTGTGGATATGGAGGACTATTTTAGCAGGTGTTATGAGATGTTAACCCTGCAAGTGAGCTGGTTCTGGAGGCCTCCAGAAACACCGAAACCACAGCAAGGTCTCTCTCTCTCTCTCTCTCTCTCTCTCTCTCTTTTCTCTTCCCCACCCCTCACTCCCCCTGCTCCTCC